GCAGGTTTTGAATCAAACTAAATAACAGTAAAGCTTTTTTTTTTATTTACGGTATTTTCTTATTTTGACGTTTTGAGCTCTTTTGTCTTTACAACAATATATATACTAATTTTTAAAGTATCAAATTGAATTTTTGTTCAATAAAAATCTTTCAAATGCGACTGAAGCTTTTTTCACCCAAAAACTTTGTCTTCAAAATAAGGGTGCGTCTTATATTCCGAAAAATACGGTATATTTCGTAATTTTAATCTCTATACTATTTTCGTTTCTACAACAGTTGTGCGTATATAGATATTCCTACTTATTTCCGCTGTCGTTCACGTTTTCTTCTATCGCCGTTTACCACTGTATTATGTATAATCCTAGCTGAGGCTCGCCAATTGTCAGATTTCAAAAAATAGTATATATATATATATATATAAGTTATTCTTTTTGCCAATTGTCGAAATAAATTGCTTTTACTTATATTTCTTAATAGAATTAGTATAAATATATACTATGCAGTTGTTGGGCTTAGCCTAGGATTATTTTACAGTAGGTGTTTGTGACTTGTTAGCGATAAATTCAACGATGAATAAACAGCACAGACTTTACTTGTTTTCAAATAATATATATATTTGGAACAAGTTAAACGTATGTACAATAAAGTGTTTACATTATAGAGAATATAAGCATATCGTAAACGTCATATCAGTATATGTATAGTTATCTTCTTGTCAAAAGTCCACTTAGGCCTATTCAATTACTTTAGAATCTTAGTTGACAAGCCGAAATATTTTCTCTAAATTCTGCTACTATCGCAATATCAATCTGGTGTGATTCACTTACGATTGTGGTCTTGTTTCTTCTGAAGATCCTATGTTGCTTTTGTCAAAGTGCACTCAGGCTGATTCAATTACTTTAGAATTTCGCTTTAACGGAATAAACTTATTTTTTCTTATTTCTTTTTCTACTGTTAGTTTCACTCTATATTCTAATATACGTATAGTCGTCTGGCCACTTTCTATATTCTCTACACCAATTAGTTACTAACAAAACTTTCTACAATCGTCTGCTTTTAACTCTTATTATAACAAAACTTAAAAATAATAAAATATTCACTCACAAATATAAATTAATCACTAATATTTAAACCAAACAGTATTTTATATCATGATAAATTCCAAAGAAATCAAATAAATAAAACTAGCATTATTCAACGAATCATGAGAAGCCCAAGAAAGAGTGAGGTTAAAATAATAAGGGGGAGAGGATTCTCACGTTTGACTCAACAGATTTACTTGAAAATTGATATTAACACGTAAAGAAACATCTATTACAATAATTTAAATTCATATTTTGGAAATTATTTAGCACAGATATAAATGTTATATTTTTTGGAAGGTGTCTTGAGGCTGGTTTCATGGATTTAAAAATTACATGAAAATTGGTAAGGAATTTTAGTATTAGTACTATTACTATTTTACAATGTTTGATGTGTTTTTAAAATTATTTATTACAACTTTGTCGGGTGATACATTATCTTTGCTCTGCAGTAACATCTGTCGGTAATCCGTACAATTAGACTGAGAGTTTATGATGTAATGAATTTGGGGAAGCGTTGTGAAACGGTAACGAAAAGCAAGTACGTGATACACACGATGCAGTAATCAAATACAACCTAGTATCAACAATAGTTTATACTATTCGGCGTAACCAGAATAAGTAAAGTAATTAAATAATTATACTTGTAATCTTTGGCAATCGACATGACGGACATAGTGTGGATAAATACTATTACACACTTTTATTCTTGAAAAATCCCTAAGGCTTGAGTAATATATATGTTATATACTGTTTTAATAAATAGGCCTAAAACCTAATATTTAAATGCTTTTTGACAAATATAACTAATAAGTAATTTTAATCACGCTTTGCTAGCTCAGAAAAGGCGTCCACATCATGAGATTCAATATAATTTCTAGGTTACCCTAACCATTAAAATTTTAAATGTTTTATGTTAAAAAAATATATATTTTTTGAGCTTCAGAAAATTATTCAAAGTTTATCATTCATAATTATGTGTATGATAAATCTAGTCATTAATACGTAATTAAAAAAAAACATAAAAATACCTGTTTCTAAGTTTGCCAGCCCTGAGAGTAAGACGAACAACCAAGCGAGTGATATCGCTTCTTGGCGTCACTCATCTGTAAATGTTCTCCTACTTCGATCGCGTAGATAGCATTGTCTCGTGATGTTGTTGAGCGGAGTATATTGTTGCGTCAGCGAGGTCACATGACTTGTGTGACGCCACGTTTCTAGAACTATCTTGTTCCTTCATGAATGCCCTAGCATTTACTAAATAGGGTAGTCTGGTATATAAATATAAGAGGGTGACAACGTGACGCAATAATAATGTAATGTGTGTGTAGGTAGTGAGTAATTGAACTGCAGTCACAGGGTATTGTTGAAGTTAACGTTCGTTCGTTATAGTGTTTGCTTTAGCGCGAATATGGAAATTAAGTGTATCATAAAGTTCTATTCGGAAAGAATAAACCAGTTTTATTAAATAAGGACTTGTGTCGTTAAAGTTTCGTCGGAACGAAGTTACGGAAAGTTAATTAACAAACGGAGACGTAACAATATTAAAAAAATCATTTTCCAATGAACTGGAGCAGAAAGTTAAAAAAAAATTATATGGTGGAGAATGCGTGAGCTCTTCTCGGTTTTATATTGGAAGACGGGTTTCGTGATGGCACACAGCAAAATTATAATAAAACAGTCCTTTATTTATGCTTCTACGTCATAATTAGGCCTCTATCGTCCGCGTTACATATTCTCTTTTCAATTTCACCTCTGGTGAAAAAGAAAAGAAATAGGTTATTAACGTATGTATATATATATACAATCATTAAACAAGTGGTCCGCTGTATAATATCGAATACTGAATTCGACGAAATGTCATAACATTATTCATTTTTATAAAAAGTTTTGTAAAAATGACCTTTGTACTCCAGATATGTGTATTTTTTGTTTATCTTAACCAACGTTTCACGTTTTCGGTTTCATCAAGGTTGATATACACAACTCTGATGAAGCTGTAAAGGCGAAATGTTGGTTAGAAAATTATTTTATGTATATCTGGAGTATAATAGTCGTTTTTTTCTAAGCTTTTTATCAAAATGTATAAATCCCTCCAGTATGCACTATAAATTTTGAAATATAACATTATTCATGTACCTAAATTAATTTCAATTACTATATGGTGAAGTAAAACGGGCTCAAAACCCCATATTTTGTGGTTTATTTGGTATAAAAAATATTTTGCAATCAATGCTGTTGAGGACAAGGCTGAAAAAAATTATGTTTACGAAACAATTTTGTATTGTGACAATATATTTAGAAAAAAACGTACCTTGCTCTCCCGATAATAAAAGAAATTCAATTAAGGAAAAATTATACATCATATAGATATAAAGCTTTATATACTGAATAACCGTCATAGAAAAACGATATATTGAAAAAGCAATGCATACATATATGTACATAAAACAAAAATTAAACTAGGGAAGAAAAAAAAATAAGGAAAATGCAGAGGTACTCTGTCCACCTTAAGAGTTGACAGACAAAAAAATTACTAAATTAAAATAACATATGAAAAAGCAAAAAAAAACATTATAGAAACTCTTTAATAAAGATAAACTTTATACTTTTTCAACCTTAAAAACGAATTTAAAGCTGCATCCTCGAAAAAGGAACAATGTGGCGCAAGACAAATATATAAAACTAAGGCCCTTTTAAATCCAATATTAAAATATAAAACCTATTACAACTTTAAAAGAATAACGGAGAAAAGCCTTTATTCACAACTAGTAAAAACGATAAATACTGAGAAATATAAAACCCTTGAACTTTAAACACAAACTAACTCGTTTAGTAATAAAACTACAAAATAATAAGATAAACGCTAACTGCTACTTGTTTAC